TATTATATTTTGAATTTTATTTCCATTTTCGTTATTTATTTTCATTATTTATTTTTATTATTTTTTTTCATTATTTATTTTCATATCTTCGCAAATATTGGATATTAAGTGTTCCAAGGTCAGAGACGTAGCTAAACGATCATATATGGGCGGTATTAACCCTCTCCAAAAAATTGAATAAAAGTAATATTTTGCAATAAAAATAAGTCTTATATGGTGATAACGATCCACAATTTTAGAAAAATATAGTTTCGCAATATAAATTTATATAAGTAATTTTTTTTTATATTTTTTCCATATAATTTTTATATTCATAATTTATTTTCATAATATTGTTTTACTTTTACAAAAAAAGAAAATAGCTTGTGTCCTAAGATCAGAAGTGTAGGAGATATATTGCATCGTTTCCTTCGCTCCAAAAATTGTGTTCAAAGCACATAATATTTTATAGTGAAATCTGGTACCATGAGACGGTATTCTCTCACTATTAAATAAAAATATAATTTGCTTTTAAGTTTTTTATACGTTTTTAATATTAATTTTTATATAAAATGACTCCTAAGATCAGGAGCGTAGATAAGATGATATATGGCATCGTTAAAAATAAGTCCTATGTGGTGGTAACGATCCACAATTATAGAAAAATATTAAAAATTGAGTTCAAAGTACATAATATTTTATAGTGAAATCTGATACCTTGAGGTAACCACAATGCGAATAATATAAACCGCATACAAAAACAGTAAAACTATGTTAATATGATTTAGCCACAGACTTATCAAGAAGTTTCTAAAAAATTGATGTGGTTCATTTATTTTTACAGCTATCTTTATAAAAAGTTAATATTCAAAATACCCAAATGTGAATGAATTTTAATGAAATCATGTAAAGATAACAATTTTTGTAATTTAAATATATTTCCAAAATTTTGTTCGCAGACAGAACTCAAAACCTATACATATCTGCAAGCGATTATAAAGATCCCATTTTTAGCCTATTTTTATTTTATTTTTAGAGATATCACCAATATGGGGATCTAACTTATAGGTTCTTAAATCTCTGGAACGTTTTTAATTTAATTTAATTTAAAGGTAATTTTTTGAATTCAGTTATAAATAATTTCTAATGTTCTCATACTCAATTTTAATGCTTTTATGAAGCAAATTTTTATTTAAAAACTAAATTTTTTATTATATAAGGACAAAATGTGTATTAAACAATTGTAGAATATTTCTGGTAATATTTCATATAAAATAAATAAAACATGAAGTAATTCAGTTGGTGTTGGTATTAACGTTTAATAATACATAAATTGGGAACGAACACATTTAAGTGTGTTTTTTGTAAAACAAAATATATAATTTGTATAACAAAATTTTATTAAATTAATATCATTTTTTTACATCAATATTCCTTTTTACAGCAGTCGATAGAGCAAAATGCTTCAATAAGATACTCAATTTTAATGCTTTTATGAAGCAAATTTTTATTTAAAAACTAAATTTTTATTATAAAAGGAAAGTATGTAACTGAAATGATTGTAGAATATTTCTGATAATATATCATATAAAATAAATAAAACATGAAGTAATTCAGTTGGTGTTGGTATTAGCGTTTAATAATACATAGATTTGTATAACAATATATATAATATTTTTAATTTATTAAATTAATATCAACAATTTTTTACATCAAAGTCAATTTTTTACAGTCAATAGGGCAAATTCCTTTCTTAATGTATGTATGTTTTTTATTTCTCTTTCTCTTCCATCACTATCAGATTAGGCATTTAATATAATTATTGAATCAATCCTATTGAATTAAGGATTAGAATATTTAACAAGCCCGCAAATGTAGATGAAATATGACAATATAATTACTGACTCCATTTGAAACCCTTCATAGGTGGTAAAGTTACCATTACATCATTGCTACTAAGGGGGTTGCGTACATATAAGTCCGGAAACACTCTCATTTCTTCACATAAATCTAGGAGATAAGTAAATTCTTCTTTGAACAAAATTGTACGTGAAGAAAAATTCTACCATTTCGAATATTTACCGAGGTAGGGCGTTTTTAAAGATAAGCATATTAAATACATATCTTCTGCTCAAACAGATTCCAACATTTTAACAGTATTCAACATCCTCTACTTACTTACATAAAGACATTTATCAAATTGTACATCCTCACCAAAATCGAGTGGTTCCGGAACATAGACTTATTCGCTTATTGTGTTCATGAATAGCTCATTAATAGTATATAATTAAATGTGATATGAAATGCAAAGTAACCATTGGCTATGAAAACGCGGCACCTACTCTTTTCGAAGTCCTGCGTTTACTAACAGTTGTCTACCAAGGTTAGGAATACTTAGAAAAATTCAGACCACCAATAGCGATCACTACATTACCTAACTAGTGGATTTGAGGGAGGAAATCGCAAAACAAATGCTCTATATAAAAAAGAAAAAATTCCTCTTTCACCAAGATAACGCGCCGTATCACAAGCCGTTGGCAATTTTGTTGGTTAAACCAATGACGCGATTAAAATCTGTTTGCAGCCTTTAAAAAATGCTTTAAGAATATAGGTTTGACTCTGATAAAAAAGTCATTGTCGTAACTGAGGAGTATTTTAAAGCCAAAGCTGGTTTATTTTATAACAGAGGAATCAAAATTTTAAAGAATCACTTTAACGATTCTTTTCCTATTCTACGTTGACCTACGGACTACGTTGACCTCAAGATGCAACAGAGCAAGAGATTTCGCTCCTATCGAAAAGTTGTCGGCGTAACGGAGGTATGTTGTAAGACCACAGTTGAATCATTTGATAAAAGTGGTCTCGAAATGTTAGAGGAGAGTTTCAGTAATTGTATTACTCTTAAAGAAAATTACGTTGATGAATTAAGTGGTAATCCAAAAGTGTTTATTGATTATTCTACGGTTTTATGGGCCCATATACTCTCTCTGACAAATGTTCTAAGACTTTTTAATGTCGAGTGTACTATAAAAAAATGAAAATACAAAATTATAATTTATTTAAAATATGAACAAAACTTTATTTAATACAAATTCTTCAAATTTTTCATTTTAAAAATTTTCATTTAATACAAACATGAAACATATGCGAAGATATATAAATATATGTATATTATATATAGTATATAAAATAATTAAATTATTATATTTTTGTCGTTGTCATACAATTCATTTTAAGGCAATAAATAACTACAATAATAATTAATGACAAAGCTTACGAAAATCGGTACTATAACACCGGCGACAACGTTTACAACTCCATATTGCTGAAATAATTTTGGAAAAATTTTTTACTGTAGTAAATCCAAACTGTATTTAATTGCTGGCTATAGTTTTCTTTTGTTTTTGCATTGCATTTGCAGCTTACAATAGTTAAGTATGTAATAATTGTGCCGGCATTACAGCATTTTACATAAATGTGTATAAGTGTGTGTGTGTGTATTTGTGTATTTGTGCATGTGTTTAAGAGAGTGTATGTTTTGTGTTTTCAAAAACAAAATAAAATAATAAAATAAAATGATTGATTTTTTTTTTATTTTTTGTTTCTTTTTAGCAGCAAAAATGTATGCGTGTGTGGTTGTTGCAAAATTTAGTGGCTGATGACCATAGACTTCTTTACCTTCTTCTCCTTCTTCTCATGGGTAATAGTTACTTCCTCTGTAAAATGAGATGAAATCATTTGAGTTCAATATCTTTTATTGTATTACTGTGTATAGTTATCGGACTTACCTTCGAACTTCTTGGGTAGCTGTTTAATAGTTTCAATAGTTCTAATATTTTTCTCGCCTGGTTCAATAATTTCTTCTTCGTATTCTTCAACAATTTCTTCTTCATCAGTTTCATCATCGTTCTTGCTGCTTGGTACAGGATCGTAGATAGTTTTAGTTGCCTTTTTGACAATACCTTCGGCAGTGACGGTGGTATAATGATATTCAGTGCCACCTTCAATTTTGATGGTTTCAACAGTAGTTACATCGCCGGGATTTTCAGATGGTACAACCTTCTTGGTGCCTGATTCGGATCTAAGTTTCTTAGTGGTGGTAACATTTTTATGCTTTTCAGCATCCTTAAGAGTTTTCTTGTATTCTCTAATCTCCTCTTCAGTTAATTCAACTTCTTCTTCTTCATAAATAGTTTTGCTGGTGGTGATGGTTTTACCAGATTCTAATTGAGTTGAGTAAGTGTATTCAACGCCACCGGGTACACGTTTAGAATCTACAGTGGTGGTATCATTTTCAATAAAATCTGGTGGTGGTGGTGGGATATTAGACTTAGACTTCTTCTTCTTCTTGCCATCGGTAACGTTAGTATTTTGTGTAATAGACTTAACGTTTTGTTCTTGTAATGAATTTTTGCGTACAGTACGATTATTTTCAGTAATTTCAATATTTTGAGTAACTCGTCGTGACTCTTCAACAGTGGTGTTCTCTTGATAGTTCGATTGATTTTTCTTTTGCACAATTTTACGTGAATCAGTGGAATCGGTCGATTCAACTGAAGATTTTCTGGTAATAGTTTTCTTTTTGTTATCTTGCACATTCTTCTTGCTGGAGGGTGGTGCTTGATCAGGTATTTCAGTTGGTACAGAATCAAAGAAAGTTTTTGTGCGCATACTCCTGGTACCATCTTCATTAATGGTAGTGTAAACTTCTTCATAACCACCTTCGATCTCACGTGTCAACATAGTGGTGTTCTTGTCAATACGTACCTCTTTGCCGAAACGTTGTCTAATCAGCTTCTTGTTAGCAGCTTCTTTACGCATATCTTCTTCACTAACTGGTTTAGGATCCCAGAAGGTTCTTACTTGAGTCTTTATGGTACCATTGGGTTGTGGTGTGCTTGTTCTCATTTCATAACCACCCTCGATAACCTTATAGACAGTGGTAGCCTTGGTCTCGGGATCGTATTCGGTTTTGCCATCTTGAATGTCAGCGGATGTCAAGAGTTCTATGTTTTTGTAGTGTGATTATGTTTAAAAAAGAATAAGAAGAAAGAAAGTGTAAAGAAAAAGTATTTGTGTGGGTGTAATGTGTTAGAATTTCATATCAATATCTATGTAAAGAGTGGAGTATATACATTATCCATGTTTAGTAATTATTTGTGCAAGCTTTGTTTATGAATATGTTTGAGCATTTTTTAATTAATATTCATTAATATATACGACTATATTGCGCTCCCATCAAAGTCCACTACAAATCCACTTTCTGCTGAAGTAGTTTAAGCTATCAATTTTCTAAAACTTTGTGTTATAGTTTAAGCTCATAATTAGTTAATGTTTTTTTTTTTTGTTTTTTTGTGTCTCATCTATTTTAAACAACTAATACCTTACATATTTTTTATATATATTATTTTTAAGACAATAAAAATATTATTTCTATTATTTATGAACTAAATTAACTTCTCAATTGAAACCTGTCAAGTCTTAAAGCACAGAAATTTATCATCCTAAAAATCTACTAAATTCGCTATTTTGTACAATGTGCGTGTCTGCGGGAATTTTGTTGGATAATTGCTCACATTTGTACACATCAAACATGTACGGGTTCAGGAAACGTTGCCTCGGCCAGCTCATCAATTAGACTCGCCGGCAAAAGGCAATTGTAGAAGGTCAGCATTTTAAGTAATTGTCATTTGAACTTGCGCATCGCCTTTTGTTTAGTGGACTTTGAGGAG